CCCCGGGGACCACTGTTAGCTTACGGTCCTTCCAGAGCTGCTGGGTGTAGATACAGAGCTTCGATTACACAAAAGGCAGCGTGTACACAGGGCCTTTTTCCGTCAACACTGTACCTTGGAGCCCTCTGCACATCGCGGCTCCTTGCTCAGGGTCCATCCAGTGAGGTTTTCCTTACGTTGTAGTATCTTCAGCTGTAGTGTCTTCACTTGGTTCCAGCGTTATTCCGAGGGTGTTGGCTCCAGTGTCGGCTCAGCTCTCAAAGCCTTCGCCGAGCCATTTGGATCAGTCCCCCGTGTAGGCCGCCCCCGGTCAGTCCGGGACCTCGGCCCGGCTCAGGCCACGGCCACGCGTGATCAGGACCCGCCCCGCAGGGAAAGTGAGCACAGGTGAGCGGGGCGGTGGTGAACCGGAGCTCGGTAAGGAAACCGCGTGCAGCTGCGTCCCTGGGCTCCTCCCTCTCGGCGCTCTCCAGCACTTGCTGGTTCCTTGGGACCCCCATTTTTGGTCCCATTTCTGTCACTGAGCCATGTCTTTCAGAGAAAAAAAGGCAGAAGTTCCTCCCTCATACTCAGGCTCCTGGCAGCCACAGGATGGCCTGGGGGCTCCAGCAGGAAAAACGGGAGGGGGGGCACTTCCCCACTGTCTCTGGGTGTTCACAGTTCCTTTCTGTCCCTCAAGCCAGACTTCGAAGGACCCTGCACCGCCGAGCCCACTGCTGTGTTGTCCCCAGGCTGGGAGCCACCAAGTTGTTTTTATAAAGGTACAGCCGCCCCCTCAGCCGCTCCTGGTTCTCGGGTGCTCCTCCTGGGTCAAGCTGGCGTTTGCTCCTCAGAGTCCAGGTTCTCTGGCTGTGTCCAGTGAGAGCAAGACGGGGGTGTTGACTCCATCTCCCCTGGAACCCGAACCTTCCCCAAGATCTTAAGCGAGAACTTACGGAATGCGTATGGCGTTCACCCCCACTTCTGCAAAAATAGGGCACGTGCACCTCCACAGAGAAGCGCTTGGGCAACGATCCGGAAGCTTATGCACCAAACTAGCACCGGTTTCCTCCAGGCAGGGGCACGGAATTTTAAAGAGAGGGTGCTACTGGAGGGAAATGTCTTTACTCTATACTTACTTTTTAATTACTTTAACCATAAACTACTTTTTTTAAAAAGTCCTCACCTTAGGATATGTTTATTGATTATTAGAGAGAGGACAGGGAGAGAGGGGGGAGAGAGAGGAACAGTGATCGGCTGCCTCCCCTACTCACCCCGACGGGATCGAACCCACAACCTAGGCATGTGCCCCGACTAGGAATCGGACCCACCACCTTTGGGTGCACAGGGTGACTTCCGACCACCCGAGCCACCCAGGCAGGGCCCTACAGGACTACCTCTGCAGTTTTCGAAACGAGGAAGGTGTGAGGTAACAGTGGGAAAATGCAGAGCTGGACTCGACACGTTCATGGAGCACGTGACGTGTCCATGGAGCATGTGACGTGTGACGTAGCCGCGTTTCCCCGATGCCAGCCCCCCAGGAGCCACTGCGACCGCACATCCTCTCCGACGCCGACGTACTGATCCGAAGTGATGCCCACAAAAGAGAAGTTCCAGCCTGTAATATTAACTGAGTTTATTCACATTTTTTCCAAGTAACTGTGATACTAAATATAAGCAAAAAGCAATACACAGATCTTACAAAACACAACCCCAAACCCCCACTGCCCGAGCTTTGGGATTGTAAGTGCCCAGACTTTTTGCTCCGTGATCTCGGCGAACGCAGGCCTCACAAGGACCTCAGGACACGGGGAATTCTGATTATTTTTCTTAAATCCAAAAGGAAGCTTCTGAAGTCTTCCTTCAGGTGTCTTGCCTTTCAAAATGGAAATAAGTACTGAAGGAGCCGCTGTTTCCCATCTCACAGGAGCAGGCTTGAAGGGGGCAGATCTGGGCCTAAGTCCAGACGTAGCTCCTTGCACGGAATTTGGTACTAAGCGTACGTTACACTGAATAACCCCGACTCCTCCTAGTGTACAAAATCCATTTCAAATGCAAACATTTTGAAATGGGTCGTATTTTTAGGCGTTAGCAGTTTGATAACCAACACAGAATCAGGCTTTATAAATATTAGCACCATTTTAACGAATCCAGTGAAATGTAAAATTACCCTCTAAACAAGTTTTTATCGAAGCAGTCAACGAGAAAAGGTTTTATTTCTAGGATACGCTACACCTCACTCCCTCTTTGTCGATAATACTTCCGAACATTTTAAATATCAGGCACTGTAACGTTCCGCGTATAAAGTTTATGCCCAGGACAGCATTACCCATTTAAAGGAGGGACGCTAGTTATTTTTTTTAAAAACCAGCAAACTGTGCAGTTTCTGTTTTGGATGTTATGATTTCCAATAACCCGAACAGCCGCCATTCTTCCGTGTCATTCAGCTGAGTTTCCTGGCATAAAAATGACAAAGCTGTCACATATAAAGCGGCATAAACAAGTGCCTGCCTCCTCAAGATGAGCAGTTAAGATCAACTATACCCTCTCGTGCCTTTAGTAAACTTTAAAAATGTGGATGTGCTTAGAAATTTTCCGGGAAGGGGTGGTATACATGTTACCAGAGGCACCACGTAAGAGCAGGGGTTTAGGTTTAAAAATACGTATAAAAAGCATTCATTCCGACTTACTGGTCTTCCACGTGGGCCCAGCAGAGCGAAATGCTGCTCAGGAGCCTGTTGCTTCCCTCAGTGAAAGCCGCACAGGAACTGGGCAGGTTGTTCTAATTAAGAGCTTCAAACCAGCATTTTGAAAAGAGTCTGTACAGCAATGACTTTATTCCGTATTTTAAATATCACTGGATTCTCAGAGCAATTTTAAACCATCTCACTGTCTTGCAAGTTGTCCCAAGAATTAAAAACATGATTAACACATGAATCTCTAGACCATCAAACTGTTACAACTTAAACAAATTCATAGGCTCAAAAGTTAACTTTCACCCCTACAGAGAAAGGAAGGAACCCAAACCTACCGACTTAGACACAGGGAAGGGGACCCCCGATTAATTCATGATTTCTTCACTGCTCCTGCATGTTACAAGTACTTTAAAAACCATGTTCACTTGTCCTTTATTTAAAAAGGGGGGAAAGGCCAATATTGCCTTCTCGGTTTCCCAGACCTCCACCTGGGGGTCTCTAAATAGGGGCCTGTTTTCCAAAGGCGGGGGTGCGGCTGGTTCGAGCCTGGAGGCAACCGGGTCCCTAAGGCGGCCGTCAGGGCCGGGCCTGCACTACCCCAGGCTCTCCTCCTGCGATTGTCAGATGCAACATGAGCTGGAAGTGGTTCGAAAGGACTGTTCACAATCAGCCACACCACCCAATGACCACATTAATTTCCTCTCTCGGGTACTTGCAATGTTTAAGGACTTAACAACAGCAAAAGTCACCGGATTTACTGGTGAGGTTGTTCGGGACAACGCACAGGACTTCCTCTTATTAAATACACATCTCAGTGATTAGGAGGAGAGCTCTTTCTCTAAAATAAGTCACCTCAAAACAATGCAAAATATTTAAAAAGTCTGTTTTTAAAAAGCTCATGATTCTTCAGTATGAATCTTCAAAGCTTGATCCAGTTGTAAGTGGACGTTATGTGAAGACTTTATGTGGAATAAAACATAGTTGTGTCCTAAAAAGTGACCATACTTATTTAAGGGAAAAAATAAACAAAAAAAAGCCCTGCCTGCGTGGCTCAGTGGTGGAGCATCAGCCTAGGATCCAGGAGGTCGCGGTTCGATTACAGGTCAGGGCACGTGCCCGGGTTGGGGCTTGATCCCCAGTGTCGGAGGCAACTGATCAAAGACTCATCATTGATGTCTCTCTCTCCCTCTCCCTTCCTCTCTCTGAAATCAATAAAGACATATTTAAAAAAAAAAAAAAGTGACTACTTCAAAGACCCAGAGTACAACCATCAAGGAAACGCTCCCGCCCCCGCCCACGGCCAGCTCTTCATTCCCGCCCCTCAGGGCCAAGTTCCCTCGCGCAGAATCCAGCGCTCCTCCCTCCTGTGGGTTCCCCGCTCCTCTGGGTGGAAACCGGTGTTTCCTGAAACCACTTTTTCTGCCCCAAAAGCAAGTGGACCCAGAGGAGTTCTTCATCCGTGCGCATCCTTACTTGGCACCCGCACACAACCGTCTCTCGCACCAGGCCCCACATCAGGCCCACGGGCCGGGGCTGCATCCAAGCGAGAAGTCTGCGAATGTCCGTCACCAAGGCTTTGTTACTGGGGAGTCTGCGGGGCATCAGCAGAGAAGGGAGGGGAGGGTGGGAGACTCTAACGGGCCTCGGACTGTCCCCCACCCCCGTGAGCAGGCAAGACAGTCCCAGTTCCATTCAATGGCATTTCAGCAAGTTCTGATTGTCACTGCCGACCGCGACAGGAGACAAACAGCAGCCCGTGACCGAGTCCTCCTCATGTGCTCTAAGAAAAATCTCACCGTGAAAAGCAAAGTGACACGACCGTCTTTCACTCAAAGGAAATGTCCCTCCTCCTCGGAACACTGCACGGGCGCTTTTTATTGGAATGCACTTGAACGGTTTAAACTATTAAATAAGTGCCTAGATGATGATTTTTAAAGAGAAAGGATGACCCTCACCCAGCCCGGGTAACTCTTAAATACCACAGTCTGCACGAAGGGCTGGGCTGAGATGCAGTTAAGCTCAACTGTTCAGAAGCTACCGGAGCTCTAGCTTCACTACACGGCACCTCGGTCGGCGCTGAAACCCACGGGCCACTCGAGACTCTCTCACGAAACGACGCACAGCGGAAAGGAGTCTTATGCTGAGGCTGGAGTGACCTTCCTGGCTGTGGAATCTGGAAAGTTCTTCGGGACAGAAGTAGGCTCGGCCTACACGTATGGAAGGAAAATACTGAACGTTAAGCATCTGCAGCCGTTTAAAGGCATTTGGTGTCGGTGTCTTAAAAGACTAAGATGCTCTCAGACAAAAGCCCTGACAAGAATATCAAAGGCTGAGGGAGTCCTCTTTATAAAACAAGCAAACGCCTATGGCTTCCCCGTGACCCTGCCGCTGCGGCAGGTGCCCGGGATCATCGAGGGAGAACCATCTTTCGGGCCTTCCCTTAGAAGAACGCGCAGTCAGATGGTTTCCTAAACCTGCGTCCGGCCCCTCTGGGTGCTGTCCTGCCGGACGGTCCCCTTTGATTTTCACCCGCACTTCTCCACGGAGCCCGCTGCGCGGCCGGTGCCTCACGCGCGGGCCGAGTAGCAGCGCATGTACTCCGTGACCCAGGGGCTCTCCGCGGGGCCCGGCCTGAGCCTCCTGCCCTTCTCCGCCTCCGCCGAGTGCGCCCGCTGCCGCTGAGCAACCAGTCTCCTCTTTTCCACCTGCCTCCTGTTCTTGGCTCGTAAGGCCGATTCGTGAATCTGCGGGGAGGGCGGAAACAAAAGCAGAATGACTTCAGTGGCTTCTGAGCTGGTTTGCGAGGACATCTGCAATGAGGCCGGCCGGGTCACCTGGGGCGCAGCGAGCCCAGCCCTTCGTTCCCAGTTCTCCTGCTCACAGAGGCTGCTCCGGAGAGCCACTCCCCCTGGGTCCTGCGGTAGCCACGGTCAGCGAGAGAGAAACCAGGCCCCAGAAAATGCCCACTGGGCTAAACCTCAGCTGTAAATGGTAAGCAACTCATCTGCATGTGTCTCTAGAAATTGGCTCCGGAAAATTTTTGGATCTGGTTGGCATTAAGCATGGATACGTATCCCATTNGTCTCTAGAAATTGGCTCCGGAAAATTTTTGGATCTGGTTGGCATTAAGCATGGATACATATCCCATTAAAGGACTTTAAATGTTTTATAGCAAAATAGATAGATAAATGATAGATAAAAATCTTGCCCTGGCCAGTGTGGCTCAGTTGGCTGGGGTTGTCCTATGCACAGAGAGGTCGCTGGGTGGACTCCCAGTCTGGGCACGTATCCAGGCTGTGGGCTCGACCCCCAGCAGGAGGCAGCTGATCAGTGTTACTCTCTCTCCCTCTCCCTTCCTCTCTCTAAAATAAAAATATATTTTAACATATATACTTTTAAATCATAAGAGATTTTACCACCTCAGACATTTTAGACCATAGATAAACCCCAGGGTTAAGTTTAACAGGGTTTATCTATAGTATAAAATAGGTCTTTTGTTAAACCACAGCTTTTCTGTCTCAAATATCACTCCAACTAACACCATCTGCTGGGGCCGCCCAGTGAAACTGTGATCGTGGTTTTTAATCAGAATCCAAACAGTCTGCACTTTCTGCTCTGCATTCATTCTTTGCTTTAGGCTAGAGCAGGGGTGGGGAACCTTTCTTCTGCCAAGGGCCATTTGGATATTTATAACAACTTTCGAGGGCTGTACAAAATTATCAACTTAAAAACTAGCTATGAAAAAAAGCTCCTAGATTTACTGAATTTCGAGTCCTGCCTGGGGTTGCCTTGGCAGGGCCAGGCCAAATGATTTCGCCGGCCATACATTCCCCACCCCTGGGCTGTAGTAATAACAGTAACACTAACACGAGTAATTGTTTTGTGGCTCTACCCGCAAGGACCCTCCCGTCTGACGTTCTCGGGACGTTGAACAGAGACAAGCAAGGCCTCAGTTAGAGGAAACACACTGTTTCCCAGTGTGTCTGAGCAGGGGAAACACCATCGTTCGAATTTAATCCAAAGAGCAAAGGGCGTCTATGGCCGACGGCCAGAGCTACAGGGAAAGCGACCTAACGGACAAACCAGTGACAAAGGAACCGAGGAAACCCCAGTCGGCAAAGCCGAGGGGACTGGAAACCTCTCCAGACGCCCCTGGCAAATCTGGATGGGCAGCCGCCAGCCCTGGTGTGCGCTTTGTCCACACCTCCTGGCCCCCCAGGAACTGCAGAACCCAGACTCCACCAGGCTCAGTGCGGTCGGTAAACCGGGTCAGGCCCCGGGACCTCCTGCAAAATCCCTCATCTCCAGGCAGCCAGCAGCCAGCACCCTCCTGTTTGCTACTCAGCTGCCCAGCTCTCACTTTCCCTGGCACCACACCATCTCCTAAGGTCTGCCATGACCCCAGCGCATCCCAGGGACCACGGGGTGTGACACCCAATGACGGGACTGCAGCCCCGGCCCACCCCCCGAAGAAGCAGAGAAGGGGCTGAACGCACACGCAGACACGCGCACACACACGCAGACACACACGCACACACACACGCAGACATGCACACACATGCACGCACACAGACACATGCACACACAGACACACGCGCGCACACACACACGCAGACACACGCATACACGCAGACACACGCACACACGCACACACACGCACACACAGACACACGCACACACACGCAGACACACCCCCGCACACACCTCGTGCACGGGAGCAGAAGCGCAGACGTTGTGAGTTTTCTGGCTTCCTGTGTCCGTCTGTCTCTCCCCCCACCCATACAGAGCAAACGGATGCTTCTTTTCTCGTATTTTGCTTGAGGACCTCTGAGGACTTCTCCCCGCCTTCCGGCTTCCTCTGGCAAACAAGGCGCTGGGCTGCTGTCGAGGTTTGACGCCGCCCGGCAGTCCCTCGGCCTCTGTTGTTCCGATCTCTTGTTCGGGTTTTTCTTTTCCGTCTTTTACTGGCAGTTCTTTTTTAAAAAAGAGACAAAACAAGACAAAAATGCTTTAAAGTCAGGTCTACACAGAATTCCTTTAAATACCTGGGTCCCAGAATACGTTACGCTTAATCGAGGCACTAACATTCTCACTTCTAGTCCAATGCACGAGCCTCACCGCAAGCAGAAACGCAGGAACGGGCCAGTACGATCATTTTCAGACAGTCTACCCCATTTTTAAATCAAGAGCAAATACAGCAAGGCCAAGCCAAGCCCATCCAAAAGCACCTACTGTCACTCACACTCTGAGATTCAATATTAAAAGAGCTCTCTGGGGCCTAACGGCTTTTTCCAAACTCCCAAGAGAGACCTACGGTCTCCACGCCTGGCTTCAGGGGAGATCTGGATTTGTGGGAACCACCCAGCAGCTGCCCGAGGTTAGTGTTTAAGTTACTCGACTCAAGTTCCAGGATCCCATTACACCTGATGTCCCCAAATTATGGGAAATGCTCCGTAAGGCTCTTACACGCTCCTTGTAAGACACGGCGGGTGACCTCAGTTTGAAGGGCCCCAGTCACAACAGGGTGCGGTTTCCACAGCTGCTCGCCAGGCACACGGCCTCGCATCCCAGGGTGAGGCTCTAGAGACGAGAGCCCGAGTTTTCAGGGGGGCTTCCCTTCCGCTTGCAACAGAAATGCCTCGGTGACAACCGAGAGAGGGCCCAGCAGCGCCGGGCGAGCCTCACAGGTGATCGGAGAAAGAAGACGGGATGCGGACACTGGGAGGCAAACTACAGCCCCCGCAGGGGGTGGGCGTGGGTGCCCTGGCAGCCCGCAAAGGCTGCGAAAGGGGTGCTTGGCGCCTCGGGTGTGAGATGCCCCTGGAACCACCAAGCAGGCGGCAGCTGGGCCCTCAGCCAGGGGCTCCAGAGGGCAGCTGGCGCTGGAGCGGAGGCTGGGAGCCCGCCGGCGGGTGCCGGGGCTCAGATGGGGACCAGGTCGCCCCGAAGAAGGGCAGAGCCAGGGGACAGGAGAGAGGCGGGCCCTGGGGACATCAGTCACGGAACAGGCGGGCAATGGCAGAAGCGTCCAGCCAGGAGGGGGACAGAAAGAAGAGCTAGAAAGTAG